TACTACTAGTATTTCGAATAAAATGATTTAATTGAGTTGGTATAATTAATTCTTGATTGAAAAATTGTGATGGTTGACATGAATAAACTATACTTTTCTTTATGCAACTAAAGAATTGTTGAATCAATCATTGGATCAAACAACTATACAAATTTAGTTCGTACAATCGATTTTTTTCTCTGTGTATAACAATTATCATAATTACTAATTATGAACGTCTCGTCGTTCTCTGTCAATGTCGCTTCGCATTCGATGTAATAAAAATCACTCATTGTAGCAGTTTTAGGTCGTAATTTTTATCAAGAGAGAATCCAAAAATTGAAATTAATTATTAATCGTCTATCCAAGTAATATCCCGTCAATAAATTAATTATTAGGATATTGTCGCCATCATTCAAACAATTGAAAGTTGAAATTAAACTTATAATCTTTTAACTTGAGGCGAAAATAGGATTTGTTGTTTGTGACACGCATAAAATCGAGTTCTTCAATCAATTCATTTAGTATTATTAACAATAATAAAATTTGTTATTTTTTTATTGTTAATTTTATTTTACTTTATTTATTAGTGTCGTTATATATTTAATATTCATTAATTATTTAATAAATATTTAATGTCAACGTATGAATTATTTAATATTATCACATAATTATACAATGCATAATTTTAGATAATATTTCAACTAAATAAATATGGATTAAGTATCAGGAAAGACCGTTACATAAAAACAATCGTTGCTTGTTTTTATATTAAAACTGATACAAAGTTTAAAAAAATTTTTTTTTTTACATTAGACTGACATATAATATCTACATACTTCTTGATGCGTACAGCAATTAAGTTAATTATACTGGATATACTCGTATATCCAGTATATCCAGATATGCTCGTATATACTCGTCTGTAACAGACTCAATGTAGGCAATCTATTTAATAAACAGCATTTTATAAAACATTATTCTCACGATATCGAGTTTTTGTTAAAGCCTCCGTTTAATTTGAAATTACTTCGTATAACCAATACAAAATGTTGAATTTTTTATAAAACTACAGTCGTAGACTAAGCCTTGAAAAATATTTTGATCCAAGTAATATGTTTTATGATTGCGACAATACCGGCGGATCGTAGATACGATCTATGTAGAATTACTTTTATTTATGTAATTCTGTAAACACGTATAACACATAAAATAAGCATAAAATTTCCATATAATTTATTCGAAGAAGGTCAACTGCAAACGAACGAATCGCTTCCTATATCCAATTGTTTTTTGAAATCTCAATGGACGTATATAGTAGAGCTGTACATATATTACTTATGGGACAATTTCGTCGCCAAATGTGTTATTTGTTATCTGGCGACGATTATCGCCAGATGGATCGTTTATATATAGATTCATATATAATTGCAAAGAAGGATTTCCAAACGTAAGATTCACTGACGTTACTTCAACGTCATCTTAAAGTCACGTATTATTGAGACCGAGAGAATTAGGTTCTTAGATAACGTTTCGCAATCTATTCTCTGTCTTTCGCGTGCGAGATGATGCAGACGAGTGCTTCTCAGAGCAGTTATTTAACTTCTCAGTTCAACGGTATCTCTCTTCCGTGACTTCCAACGACAAGGAGGAATCACGCGTATATCTTCAATCTCCGCTGCATCGAAATGCGCACAGATGTGATCATATTCTCGCCGTGGGAGAATTTTTCACTGGAGAAATAAATCGGTTGTTGAACCACACGAAATTTTCTATATGCAATACCGAAGACGCGCGCACGCCTACGATGTGACGAGGCGACGGTTTTCCTATTGGAAAACCTTGATTGTAACAATATGATATTATAATCATAAGTAAATTTTTTGAACACCCAACAATTTCTGCCGACTGTTATATAAACGATCTTTGACGGTCAAAGGCACTCATTACACTTAATAACCCTTCATGATAATAAGACGACAAGTGCTTTGTGTTCTCGATTCTCGTCGTACTTAAATGTCAATCGAATTATTTCTTACGACGAGAAGAAGTTTAGAAAGAAACGATATTAACTCACTCGTTGTACATAGATCGTATTAATCATTAATATGTATAACAATGTGAAAACATGAATAAATTAATGAAGTCATATATATATATATACATATATATATATATATATATACAGGCGCGTCGTATCTTAATAAAACTTGGAATATCTATTAAATACAAGGAAAAAAAAATCAATAGAATGAGCAAGCAAATAGATGTCGAGAAATAAAAATGATTAATATATAAATGTTTTATTTAAAGTATTATGTTATATGAAAGTGTTATTTCTAAAGCAAAGCGACGACTTCACATTATTTATGCTGCGTGTTTTTCCGAAATATTTTCGTGCTTGAATTATTATTAATTTTTGTGTACATTTTCTGTACCTACGTAAAGCAGTTCAAATAAGGTCCAAAAAGGCTGAAAAAGAGGCTCGAAACGTTTCCCAGTACTAAATTGGTTATCAATATATTACACTTTTTATTTCTCGACGTCCTATTTGCTCATTCTATTGGCCTTTTCCCCTTGCATCTGTTACTTGAATACGAGTCACTTCACTTACTTATTTTTTATTGAAATATAATATTGTAATTTATATATTCTAATTTTCAACAGAGTCTAATGATATACAAGACAAACAGAAAGATAATAAGAAGCAAGTTGACTCAGCAAAAGTTTTATGTAATCAGTACTGAATTTCTCCTATAAGTGATATTTCGTAAAATATTCAATGACATTGTCGTGAAACAATAAGAAACGTGGCACGCGTTTCCTTATAGACATAATTGCATCTACATTTACCTCGCTTATTACGTCGTCGGCGATAATGACCACTCCCCTGGCGACGCGCGTGTCAAGTCACGGCTGTCGGATGCGCACTGACAATCGAACACCGACCGACTGCCCGCACTGAACCGGCGCTATTAAAACTTCGATAACGTCGATGCGATACGTAGACAGTTATTATCAATGGGATGACGTTGCAAAGTTGCGTCTGATTGTGATTAAGCTCCGGGTCGCGCTAAACATTTCGCGATTATTTTTATCGTTCGCGTTATCGCGACGAGACGATGATGCGCTTACCGCGATCGACGATGCGCGAATGCACCAGCCGCGACGAGAATTACGATTGTTGAGCGCGGGAACTATAGCGCTCGCCGTTCTAACGATTTAGTTCTATCAAGGCTAACGAGAGTTATCTTCTTTCTTTCTTTGGTGGGAGAAGCGCAGACGCGCACTAGCGGAAAAAATTCACGAGACGCGGCGTTAGCGAATGTAAAAGAATGATTTTTGAAAGATCGTCGAGCACTGAGAAGTATTTTTTTTATAGTTAAAACAAATAAAAACTTACAAAAAAGTATATTAACTGTAGCAAATTTTGAAAGACAATAATCGAAATGAAAAATCAGAAAAAAGGACAAAAAGTAAACAAGAGAAGAGAGAGAGAGAGAGAGAGAAAGAGAGAGAATAGGTCCTTTGAAAATAATTTTTGAATGTTTAAATTGTCCATTGAAAAAAAATATAAGAATTATCTGAATTATTTAGAAGGAAAAGATTTTATATTTGCCAAAAGTATAAGCGTGCGATATCACAAAAAAGATTATAATAATCTTGGCTTTACATGTTGAATTATAGCATCCAATTTTCGGTCAATTTTAAATAAAATAACTCATTAAATAAGTATAATATTAATAAATTACACGCAAGCGTTGTATGTCTAAATACTAATTTTTGAA